ATTTTTGAAACTTGGCTGAACTAGTGAAAGTTAAATAGCTGACTTGGACAATGTCTTGAGCAGATGCCTCAATTCAGAGTTCAGATTGGATTCATATTCAGAGATGCATCTCTCTCGTTTAAAGGGCACCTAATATGCTGATTTCAACTCTGTTGTTTTGTTGTTGTTTGTTAGTCCTTGTTGCAGATCTGCCGTAAGCACTCTCTGATTGGCTGCCTATCACAAACCGGAGTTTAGTGCCTGACACGACCATATTAGGCATATCCAATGTCAGCTGAAGCCGAAGATTCACTGGATTGCTTGTGACTTCAGTATTGTGAACCTTGAGCAACCAACTATAAATGACGTAAAGTAGCACGTCCCTGCTGTTTATTATGTCCAAGACTGGATCGATCAGCTTTCAGTGACGTACCAGCTCATGGGGGTCACGATCCATCAAACCACACAAAACTTTGGTTCTCGTCACAACTGAGAACGACAAACGTGATCTTGACATGAAGCCTTTGTGTGATTTTGGTGAAGCCCTACAAAGTGGACACTGTGGCGAGATCTGTGGTGTGATCTTTAAACATACTTCAGGTAAAACTCTCACCTTGCCTGCCCCCATGATCTTCTCGGCTGCGTAAACCGAGTCTCCACACCGGGCGCATTTCTCCGAACCGCCAAACTTCTGAGCAAATTTGGATGGGTTGGGGTTGGTCGTGGGTCTGTGAGTCTGGGTCCTCGGGTGGGAAAGGGCAAATAAATATACGACAAATTATTTCAGAGGAAAAGTTTATCGTTCACATATTCAACTCTCATTTTAGTCAGACTGACATTGGCCTGTAAAGTCAAAGAGTCCTAAAATCAACATATCAGACTATCTGTGGTGCTAGTATTGAACGAAGTATGATCCAAAACATTAAGATCCAGAAAAAAACCCGACTGCTCTGCTGTCTGTTCTCTGCCAATGGTGGGAAAATGAGCAGGGCACCATGGGGCCCGGAGCAATGCTTATCGAAGGGTGACTGCCAGCCTCAGTGGCCCCTGAATGAAGGTCTTTGTGATGGAGGATACAGCAGGCTGAGCGAGATCCTTCTGGTTACATAAT